GAAAAAGCCCAAATGCAAATAGAGAGTAAATGTCCTAAAAGACAAATCAGATTCTCTACTATTTCATCATGTACAGTATTGCTATTTAAGGTATGCTAACAGATACAAACGATTCCCAGTAAGTATTCTTCCTATGCTTCAGTAAGTGGAATCTGTGAATCATTGGTAGCAACCAATAATACAAACATATTAAAACAATATTCTTGGAACAAAGTGAATTAGCCATCTTCCTCTGACTCATGTATGATGCAGACTTCCTCAGAAAAAGCTAAGTAAAACACAAAAGGGACATCTGACCATTATTGTTTCCTTTACCATTCTCTTCAATTCTTTTTAGACTATTTTGGTTTTGAACTACACCAGGCCTGCACAACATACGGCCCGCGTGGGCTGCTTGTGGCCCACCAAAGGATTTCATGCGGCCTGCATCGCTCATGAGTGCAAGGTCCGAAAATGCAGTATGTTTTTTTTTTTTTTAATAAAGTTTCCACGATGAACTGTCGCAGGGGTGATTTCCAGGAAATAACCAATCAGCGCTCAGCCTGTGAGCGCTGACATGTTATGACGGCAATGCGGGTGGCAAAATTACTCACCGAAGCAGCTCTGGGAGAAAGGCCATTTTGATAATTATAAATTTTACAAGCCCTTTGTAAAATGGATGATCAAAAGAAGCGGAAGATCGAATCAGAACATACAGTGTTTAATCTGGAGTGGACAAATAGATACTTGTTTATATAAACTAGAGACAAAATATTGTGCCTTGTTTGCCGAGGCCTAATGGCTGTTCCTAAGGAATACAATCTGCGTCGCCATTTCGAATCAAAACGTCCTGACTTAGCCAAATTGGACACCAATGAAAAACAAATTAAAGCGTCCAAATTGTTGAAAATTCTCAGTGGGGAACAACAGATTTTCAAGAAAGTACACTCAGAAAATGAGGCGGCTACTAAGGTTAGTTTTCAGATTTGTAAAGAAATTGCTGCTGCTGGGAAGTCTTTTACTGAAAGTGACTTCATAAAGAAGTGTTTGTTAATTGCAGTTTCTGGATTATGTCCCGATAAAAAAAATGTTTTTGAGAATATAAGCTTGTCCAGTATGATCATGCAGCGAAGAGTAGCTGATATAGCCAATAACTTTAACGATCAGTTAAAACAGAAGGCAAACAAATTCAGCTATTATACTTTAG